TATTGTTTCATGTGAATAGCCAAAAAATAATTATATTTAAGTGAAAAACCAGACTATATTATTATGGTGACATTTTCTGAAATAAAAAAACTGAAATATCTGAAATTATAAACAGCAAAACTACTTAATGGGAACAGTCTTGAATAGGAGGCCGGGCAAAAAATACTTTCAGGTAGAGATACTAGTAAGACTTGGCAGCAGCAACACATTTTTTTGTTCAGTTCTTTTCCCTGCCTGAATGAGAAAAAGCCCGAAAACAGTGAAAGAAGCCAAAGCGTTCTAGAACTTATCTTTTTGGATATTTCCGGCACCGCTTTTTTTTGGGCAAAAAACTTCAACACAAGAAGATTCTACGTCATATGGTTTCTAAAGGTTTTTCCAAAAGTGGAATGGAATCAACTCATGGGCTTCACAGTGTGGAGATGCAGGGCTGCTTCTTCGTGCCCGAGAAATGTTAAAACAAGAAAACAGAGAATGAAAAATGCCAAGAAGCGTACACTTGCTAGCGTCCAACTGTCGAGTATTTCATGGGCGGTCCCAGTGAGAGGGGGGTCCGATTTGGTCAGGCCAGTACAGGAGGCGGGGGCACGTGGTGCGACCGTTCATAAACGCTTAGAGAATTTTTTTCCCACGGGAATGAGATACCGGGGTGGGTGTAGAAGCGAAAGTACCCTCGCCTTCAAATGAACCAGAAATTGTGCAATTGCAGAAATTGACGTGGCATTAACGTGGCATCGATTCAAGGAACATCTTTGAGCACACGTGATGTCACCTTTTCATCGAGAATTTAGCCACGTGTGCCACGTGGCTTAATGCCACGTCAACTTCTGCAATTGCACAATTTCTGGTCATTTGAAGGCGAGGGTAACTGAAATGGTTCGTGCACTCTCGGGAAATCTCCACTCAAAATTGGAAATTTCTGTAGGCGGCAGCGACTGTCGCACAATATTCCCCTCACCTTACTAGATGAGACCCGGGAGGGGGGGGGGTCATTTTAGTGCAGTCACACTTTTGAAATCGCTACAAACATCATCGTTTATTGCAAAGGTTTGGAGAAATCTACCTGTAAAATTGTTTCCTTTACACTAGTAAGTGGCTCTACTAACCCCAGAGCTTGCTTCCTCAGCGAAAACTTACTCTAAACGGCACGAATTATTGCACCACAATGCCCCCTCTTATTGGTATGGACCCGTATTTCAAGCCATTTTGAATGGGCAAATGGTGTGGTTAAACGAAACCCTGCCAATGCTCACTGTTCACCCGATAACTACACCACTGGGTGGGTGCTGGGTGTCTGGGTGGTGGTGGATCAGCCTGTGTGTGAGCCCAGCAGCTCCTCCCCTCAACCGCCACGAACCCCTGCCGCACTTATCGATCGATCGCCGCCGGACGGCGTGCCGGCGGCGTGCGTCGGAGTCAAATCGACTCGGTGCTGGTCACTCCCAGCCTCATCGACCTCGTCGACGTCATCACTTCCTCCATTTCCTCGAAATGTTTCCTTCGTTATTGCCTGAACCCCCTTTTGATTCTATTCCCCCGTTTTAATCCTATGGATTTTTCTTATTTGAATGGCCAACTGAAAGTCTGCTCCATTGACTTCTTCGCTGGCTTTCTTCACACTCCAATGGCTAGATATATTTTCAAGCATCAGAGAATACGTCAGTTTTAGAGGCTTTTTCTTCTCGTCGTTCCCCTTTGTCTTTATTTCGTCGATCTCAGTTAAATGACCATATTCTGGCTTGATGAAATGGCAAATTTTGTCTGAACAAGGATCGAAATGAACTATGTTTTCATTTCTTAGTAGTTTTGTTTGTTTCTTTTCCTTTACCATTGTGATTCTAGATGAGTCGTAGGTAATTAATGTGCTTACTCGGGCTAGTTGTTCTTTGTTCCAACCCTTTTCCGCTCTTCTGTACAGCGTATTCAGAACTAAAAGTGAATAATAGGCAGGGATTTTTATTCTTCGTGGACGGGTAGCAGTCATTTCTGCATTCGAAATACCAGCTGTTTGAAATATTGTGAGTTCCGGGCTTACGTATTGCTCTTGAAAAGTTTATACTTCATACGTTGGAGCAGAGCTGACAGTGAGTCTGCTCTCCATTCATTACCGTGTTGTCACAGTACTCCTTAATATATTTAACGGGTCTCATCCAGTAAGGGGGCATCAAGTGGCTGCCCTCACCCCCACCCCCTAGACTGCCTACACTCCCCCTGGCGCACAGGTTTCTCGAAGTACGGGACCCCGTGAGCCAGGGGGAGTGAAGGCAGTCTAGGGGGTGGGGGGTGAGGGCAGCCACTTGACGTTGCATCACAATGCCCCCCCCCCTTACTGGATGAGACCCTGTATAACAACGTACGTATAGCATCATACGAACTCTTTGCAGAACTCTTTTTGCAGTTTTTTTTTTACAAAAAGGGCAGTATTGCAACAAATTTTGTATCATTAAAGTTCAGTGGTATCTGATCCGAATTCTGCTACTCACCACTTCAAAATGATGCTCAAGTGTAGTTGGACATAGAGAGGGGGGGAGGATATTGTAGTGCTCAAAAGGCATTCAAAATCGTGGCGAACAAGTCTCCGGAACTTTCTTATCTTGGAAAAGGGGTTTTACCGAGACGAAATACCTCATGATCCCCCTCCCCTTCATCCACACATGTGCCCATCTTTATGTTCAACCCCTGTGCCATATTGAATATTAGTGGAAGTTCCCTCAGTTTTTGAACCCAGTCTTTTTTCAAAAGTTTGTTTTAAAGAACTGGCTGAGGGTTTTTCTCGTCTGGCTACCGTGTCCATGGAATTTGAAGACATTGGTAGTTATGGCTAAAAGCAGCTTTCGAAATAAAAAGTGAATTGTTCCCAGATCCTCGAAAAGGTCAAACATGTCTCCCCCTTTCGAAGAACTTAGCCCCCCAACACCCTCCTCCCATCTGGTCAACTACGATCCCCTTTGTCAATAGGCACTTGTCTGAAATTGTTAAAGACTAAGGTACCTGTAAAATATGACATTACAGACCGCATAGGGAATGTCTTGCTCTTCATTATCCTATAAACACGATAATTTACTGTGTTCACGACGAAACCACCCAATTATCTGTTTACTCTTTGCATATACATTGTGTGCGCACCTTCTCGGTGTATTAAATAAGTACATAAATAAATATTTGTCTTTCTTGGCTTTCTAATAAAATAAGCAGACACCAAATTGATCATCGTTAAAAATGTGTTGCCAAAGTGATTTTCCATTTCATTCTGTTCAGATTTGTTATACTTTCATCTAATCTTCTTTTTCTTAGTAACACCCTTCTGTAATAACTAACCCGTCTCGTCTGAAAATAACTCGTGACCAGTGATCAGAGATATCCCCTTGTACCAGTAGTTCCCTAGGACGGAAAGCGATTTTTCGTTTTGCAACGCGAAACATTTTTCGCTGCAGGAACTCCAGGTCCACTCATGATCAGCGGTGGACCTGAGGTTCCTGCAGCGAAAAATGTTTCGCGCTGCGAAACGCGAAAAAGTCGCTTTCTGTCCTAGTGAACCACACCCCAGTTGGGGTGGGTAGATATGCAGTATTAATGCGGCGGTGCTGAAGTATACCAGAAAGTGAAAAAGCTTCAAATTTTGGGAGAAAGGTCGCGGATTATCTACCAAGGCATAATCCCTAAATGATTTACAAGGAACGAATGAACCTATAAATGGAGAGGAGTACATTACATGTGCTGAATATGGTTTCACTGTAAGCTGAATAGGTACGTTCTTGCTTATATTTACGTTTTTTCATTATTTTGGGACCAACTGTTTTGATTTTTCTAACATTTGCTCCCTATAGCCTCTCGATGTCAGTTCTTTTTGTTATTCTAAATTCTGGTCTATATTCGCCGGTAAGGGTCTGTTCGGATGATCTTACATGAAAGAGTGAATTATTGTGCCCAATTCTGTATATTTTCTTGATCTTTCTTATGAAAAAAAAACTTTTGTTATCTACTAGAACTTCGCTATTACTATTGCGGCGTCCGTCACTGAGCAACCACTTGAACACGATCTACTTTCACTCATTGTTTTGTTATCAGAAATGAGTCAGTGGGTCAGTTTAAATAATCACTGCATTTTCTCGAAGCATTGATGTTACTGCTGAGAATGAATATTACTGGATGCTTCGTTGTTCCCATTTTACAATATACCTTGCAGTCCAAACGAAAGGACAACTTTTTTTCGTGCACTTTTGTGGTTTTTCTATGATTTTTCGCCGAATCACCAGTGGTTTGCGTTTTCTATTCATATCCAATTTCTGCCGCCGTCCCTCGGGATCATATTGGCAGCCTATCAAGTGAACTGACGGCGCCCAATGTGGATAATATTTTTTGTTAGTTTGAAGCAATCAGATGTTTCTTTTAGTCATGGTTACGCAATTCAGAATTGTTCATGTTTTCGTTGCAAATGTGAGGAATTTCCCTCAAATTTCGATATATAAGCGGTCATGGTAAAATGTTTAATAGCCTCTTGCACTTTTCACGTCCTCAAACGTGAAAAGAACGTTGCTATGGGCTCCCGTTCTACATTCTCCTGTGCTCGGTTCATTGTTCTTGGAAAGTGGTTCGAGCATACATTTCCTTCCATTTTGCCACTGGTTTAGAATACGTAACCGCAATGGTGGTGTTTTTATTCACTGTTTTCACTGATTTCTCCTTCAACTTACTGAACTGCAGTAAAATACATGTATCTTAGTGTGTGTTCATTGAATGAACTGCTGACTGGCCTTGCGACATGCTATCCGCCCGATATCGCACCTGACTCTCACTATTGATCCTGCAAACATACATTTCTTCTCTAGCCAGAGTAACTCGATCGGAGGTGTACGCTCCACTATCTTGAAATCTTTTCCACCCTTAGAATCGTACGAGAATTTGAATGCTCACCGTAATAAGTTCGACTTTGGTGAACTGTTCGTGGCTTGTACTTCTAATTTATGATTCGGTGTTGTCATCAAATGTTTGGTTCTAGAATGTCTTCCGCAGATCTAGCGGAAGACCATGATTCGTCCGGTGTTGAGCCTGATGTTATTGAGAAGACCCGTACAATTAATCTCAGTGATGTGGTCGACAACGAAACCATGGCCGATACTCTTCGTGAAGGAGGTATGTGTACTTTTAGGCCTGTCTCATTTTCAAACAAATGCGCAGCATTATCAGCTTTGATTTCCTCGAAAGACCGATTATTTATTTATTTGTTAAGTATACACTGCCTAATGAAACCTTTAAGTTAGATTGTGAACAGTTCGAATGTAAGCCTGTAAATTATCGGGTTAAGCAATTATCTGCCGTTTTTTTCCAAGCTCATGGTTCTTTGATTTTTTGCTGATTATTTTCGAAGATTATGATGTAGTCTGAAAGCGCTCAATCTCTTGTACATTTTGATGTACAACACTGTGTTTACTTCACTATGGAGCTTACACACTAGCAAAAAAGATTGCCCCTGCTACATGAGTGCAAGTTGAGCTCGAAACCGAATGCTTCTGCATCTGCTCGTAGAATCAATGAAGCCTGGGATGAAGGCACGGTGCAGAGAGGACTGTTCGAGAGTGTTGTTGTTGTTTTTGTTTAGGTGTTGTTGATTTATGAGTGAAACGTAAACGGCGGATATTTATTGCTCAACTTAATATAAGCGGGGTTGGTATCAACCTTGAAGTACAGGGTGTGAAAAGTTGCCACCCGCGGACATTAGGAGAAGCAAAAACTTGGCAATAGCAAGCACTATCCGTAATTACCCGTGCAGTTGGCTGTGGTGTCTTCATTCCATTGGAACTCCTTCGAATATGTCAGAACTTCGGGTCACGGGCACACTAAACTTTCAAGTGGACCCACATGAGAGTACTATAGACGGAGGGACACTTCCTTTGGGCTTGTCAGTCAGCAACGGTATCCACACTAGCTACTGTCAGCTTGACCTCACAATTGTGAAGATTGTACGTAGAAAATAAGCACTAGCCGGCACCATACAGCCAGAAAGGCGGAACAAATTAATGAAGCCACCAAGCCACGAGACATGAAAGAATGCTATAGTTATAGCAGGATAGGCTACCATCATGTAAAAGTAATAAGCTGGTGTTGCATAAAGGAAGGGATCGTGGTCAATGCGTGCGGAATCTTTTTTCAAGGATGAGAAGCTAAGCCGATTCAAGATCAGGAGTCTGAGCTCTCTAACACCGTTGTATTGTTTTCTTGAATTTCTTTCTAAATACCCTGCAATTTTTTGATCTGAGCAATCTTGTGTATTTTGTCTGGCCTCCCCATGCGATAGAAATACGATTTGATGAGATAACAGAATTCTTCAAAAAATACCAAATTACTCTTTCAAACAAGACTACAGTCTTTTTTAGTTATTAGCAGCGTATGTGTAGGGTCTCAGTTATTAACTAATTGCAGCCACCAGTGGTCTCTCTGGTATGGGAGAAAGCGAAGTTTCAATGGTATCCGAAGCGCCGCCAAGCACAATAACGAATCAACCATTTCCTGCAACAAGTACAAAGGTGAGCAAAAGTTTGGGCTAACATTAACGAGTTTTCATAAGTATTGGGTGTCGTGAGTTTAACGCCGTTTTTTAACTTTCTAAAAACAAGCCGCACTAATATATCGATAGAGAAATGATTTCATCGCTCTGTTCTTTCATCTACCGTTTTACTTGGCATTTGAATCGCTTTTATACCCTTTTTTTGAGGTCTTGGAATGTCACATTTTTCAAGGGCTGATATGTAGGTTTCTTTGTTCCTCTCAAATTTTATGTGTGTTGATGTTGACTCATTGTTGACGCAAGTCGGGATATGAGATTTTATTCCGAATCTGCAAAATTCGACAGTTTTAGTTAACCGTGTGATTCATAATGTCTTGCTCGCGATGATAAAAACTTTGAAGGAGTTTAGGGTAGGGTCGGATATCGGACATTGGCAAAGATTAACTGAGGATCCAAATTTTGAATGATATTTTGATCAAATCAAAGCTGCATGGAACTGTTGAACAGGCCGCTTCTTAATTAGGCGTAGCTGATAATTGAGATGGGGTTCCTAAATATACAGGTGAGGGTGAAAAGTTTGAAAAGTCGACAAGTGGGTGCCGCCAACTCTTCACCACATTTGCGCAGCCTCATCTCACGCTTCGAGCCGTGCACCAGCTAGAAACGGTGCTGCAAACCATTTATACAGTATCCCCTTGTATACCAGCTGCCACTTTTCCAGCAATTTGGATAATCTTCTCAATGTGATCAAACGTTGAAACCCAACGTGATGATGAAACGGCCTTCGCAAGTTCTTCGGCCACAGAACACCACTTTCAATGTCCGAGTCTTTCGAACCCTCTACTTCTGGGCAAAAGTGCAGGGATTGTAATAATTTTTATTTCGATCAAAGTTGCGCTGCTTGAACCGAGATATGCGCTTTTAAATTTGAGATTCATGATTGGCGGAAACCTTTTGAAGAAGCGATTTATATGACTGCGATTTCCCGAGAGTGGTTGTGTTGTGCAATCTCTTCAAAATATTTGACAATTTTCGAACACATTGGTTATTTTTCTGTGATTTTAGGTGTATTACCATATTGACGATGAACCAACTCCTTACCTCACTGAGGTCCACGTTCCACCTGATTTGATAACACTGGGAGACGTCAAACGGGTACTTATGAGATCAAATTTCAAGTATTACTGCAAAGCCCTCGACCAAGATACAGGGTGGTGAGTCTTTATTTTTTTATGTTTTTTGTCTGATATTTATTTGGTGCTGATGTGAACTTTGATCTAGTGAGCTACCTTCGAACTTTGGTTCCATGTACTGCTGGTGTTTCACATTAGTTTTCCCCGTTAATATGCATCGTTACGTGAAATGGAGGTCCTAGATGTTCCAATGAGAAAGTATTTCGCAATACACAGCAAAAAAAACCGGGCACTGAAACTCGTATTCGCATAAGAGTGTGTCAGCTGAGAACCGCATAAAAAGTGTTAGGTTTTGTGAACATAGAGTAATCTTAAGGTTTCCTGCAGCGTGAAATCTAATGCCAAGACTTGTTTTCGAAGGTTTGCTGCCACCAAAACTAGACAACGGTTAATTATTGAGGCGTTGTAAGATACCATGAGCGCGATTGTATCTGAAAATTTGATATAGGTATAGACATCACTGGTGAAATTTGATTGTTATTTCAAATGAATGCCTGAATGCTACTTATGCTTCACTTCTCTAGCAGTTGTAATTTCCATAGGGAAGGATGTGGTTTTGCATGAAACTTCAGAAGTCAAATCCCCTCCCCAATGTAACTAAGACACTTTGCTCATTATTTCATAGGTTTCGGAGAAGGTTATCAAACAAAAAGGAAGTATGCCATCTAGGAAAACACATCATTCAATGTTTTCTGACATTGTCTTTTCTGGCGATTCACTTCCATAAAATGAATAGGGAGCATTTGTGAGCCTAGTGATAGGTTCAAGCGTTTTTTTATTACCTTTCACTGTAATGTCGATCCCCACGCTCTATTTGTAAAGGGCTTGTTGCGATTAGAGCTCGAGAAGTTCCAATTTTTCAATTTTGTTATTTTTGTGATTTCTTTCTGGTTGTAGCAAATGTTTAGCTCAAGAGGCTAGGCTGGCTATGTATATGTTCTTTGAATGTTTGATGTAGGATTCAGATCGCATTAGGCTAAGGGAACCAAGTTGAGAAATTCAAAAAAAGCATTGAGATTGTATTGAGAACTGCATGTCCTTTTCCCGTTCCTTGAGGGCATTTTTCTCTGCTCTTCTTGTTATAGAAGAGCAGTGCAGGTCGTCTCGGCTTTTAATGCGGGTAAGAATTTGAAGTTGGAGCTGAGCTTCTTTCGGACTCCATCAAAATGAATAAGGTTCTTGAGCAAGGTTGTTGAGTTTTTGTTGGTGTCATTACCAATTTTGGCGTGCGTTGTGCAGGAACTTCGTTTAAGCAACTGGGTCTCCGGTCCCGCGAACTCGTAATCTAAGCCAGCGACTTGGCCATTATGTTCATTGTCGTTCGAAGTATCAATATGCCAGACGGAATAAGGGTCCGATGACAGAGAGAAAAGCACGTGCGAAGTGTTTGACATGTCTTTTCTGGCATCACTTCCACTAAAAATGACATAGGGAGTTTGGTAGCCTATGATAGTCAAGCGTTTTTTTTACCTTCACTTTATAGCTCGATCCCCAGCATCATTGAAGGCAGGCATTCTTTGCATAGAGCATCGAAAACAATTCCAATATTTTCACTTGGAATATCGTGACTATTTCTGTTGCCGCAAACCGTCTATGCTCCAGAGGTCACTAGGCTGCCTAAGATATTTCTTTTGAAAATTCGTATGAGTTCATATCTCATTCAGGTCTCCTGCTATTAAGGAACAACACAATGTTCAGAATTCAGAAAACCATTGAGTTGTGTTGAGAACTGACATGTCCTTTTCTGTTCCTTAAGCGCTATTTTTTTCTTCTGCTCGTCATGTTATAAGAAAGAGAAGGTCGGAAGGTCGTTCCGACCTTCTCATAGGTTCAAGATTGAAGATTCCGAGCTTCTCTTCGCACTTTCACCCTTAAAATGAAACAATTCTTGAGGCAAGTTGTTAACCGTTTTTTTCGCGTTGCCATGTGTACAATCGCGTGTGATCGTTCTTGTAAACAGGGGAGTTAGGCGAGTTCAGACACAATAGCGCAATGAAGTAGTACATGCTCACAGGAGAGGTCGTGAACCCAGAACTCCTTGTTCCGACCCTGACTACCAAGATTATAAATTCCTACGTTATTTGACACTATCCTATACTTCGAAAGTATGACGATTGTGACAAGATATCACAATAATAAGGTTGGTGCATCCCCATGGCTCACTTGGTGCACTCCAGAACGCGCAATACTGATTAAGAAAAACAAGTCTGATTTCCGCGTTGAGCAGCATGCAAGTACCTCTAGGTCTCTAAAATTGTAAAACAAGAGATAGAATTTATCTCCACCCCCACCCACCAACACAACCCCACACCACCCACCGACCCCCCCCCCACCCCACCCCCAAACACCAAACCCGCCCAAAACCCCTCCGAGCCCGTTTACAACCAGCTAAACTAGTGTCGCTTCCCAACCTCCTTCTTCCCCGAGAACCAACATCTGATAAAGAATCAACTCCGCCGTCCCCCACCCCCCCCGACGCCCGATAACTTCGCCCCACTATCTCCGCCCCAACCATACCCAACCCTTCCACTACCCCACCCCACCCAACACCCCACCCAACCCCACCCCCCCCCTACCCTGACCCGAAATCACCACAAGAATATCGCGCCCACAACCCCTTCACCCCTCAGACAATCAATTCCCCCCGCACACCCAGCTACCGCCGAACCCCCCCACGACCTAACGACCCACCCCCACACACCACCCCCCCCAACACACAATTATGGACTCAACTTGTCACGCAAAAAATAGTGACATGAAGCACTGTAAGCAAGAAACCAGAAATCTTCAGTGGCGAAAAAGTTCTTGTTTCCACACATCCCCGCATATAACATTGCAATCAAAAGCTTCAACGAGAATCTTCTAGCCTCCATTACTAGTCCATGAGATACCAGATTGATACTTCTGTGCAACTGATTACATCAGAACCCCTAAGGGAAAAACACAAATACACCATAGCATAAAACACAATAAGATCATCCACACACAAACACTAACAATCAACACAACTCAACACAACACGAAAACTCGATGACTGGAACGACCGCACACCCTCGTCTCGCACAACAGACGACAAATCTATGAGCTGTCCACATTCACCCCTGAAGCACACAACCGAGGTCCACCGACACCCACACCAACACTCACCCGATTCCCACCCTAGGCATCCCCTTAAGCTCAAAGCCCGCACCCATCACCGCTCACACAACCTACGCACCTTCCATGTAATGCTTCAGCAAGTTCCTTCTTGTAGCCTTCCCCACTTTCTTTTTTGCCATCCTTGTTCAACTTCTTTGCATAGATAATTATACATCGTCCGACAAGGCAGCAGTTTCCCGTCCAAACAAACCCAATTGAAACTCCAAAACTAGCGACTCCCTCAAAAACTTAGCTACAAAGTAATACCTCCTAATCTAATATACCCCACACCACAAAATGGTTTTCATGCTAGGGCCAGACCCGGCCCCCCAACCAAGTATGCCTATCACATTCGCAAAAATCGCCAATACCCGTCACACGCTTTGCACCACACTACGAATATAGCCCTCCACAGTGTGTTACTTTTCGATACAATCTCACACCAATTGCCAGCTCACCCCTATGAACCAAAGTATACCAACATACAATCTAATAACTCAGGCGCATACAGACAGCGCGCACCAACAACACATAGACAATTAGCCTTCCGCAATTGACACTCGTACTAGAAATACAATTCTCTTACCTCATAAGACTTTCTATGACTCCAGCTTCGAGGAGGTGATACAAAACAGTTACTTTTGCAGAATGGAAAGGTCGAGCACTATCACTTGTAAATCTCAAATAGTTCAAAGAAAATTGTTGTTGTGATTCCAAAAAATTTTGTTCCAGCCCGAAATGCTTCCCTCCTTCTCATCTCTTCGAAATAAAAGCCACCCCTAACAATAAAAAGAAGAAGCTTTCCGAAAAATAGACAGATAGCTGTCGAATCGTACTGAATAACGCATCCTTCCTGATGTGCACACCACCAACCAGTCTGCCATTCGTCCAAAAGCTTTAGTAACCAATGGTGACAGTTTGTTCCCCCTGTTTTGCTCGTAAGTGCAGTGGCAATGACACTTTTCGGAAACGTAGCATGACAAATAATCAGACAAATATAATACTGACTTATATTCGCCTCAAACTTCTATCCGAAGTTGATATGCAAGTCACCCCAGGCCATAATTAGTCCACAACTAATGAGAGTACGCTGGCGATAGTAAAAATCTTTAATTTCAAAAAGCCGACTACCTTTCGTGTGTCCTTATGCGTAGCCAAAGTGGCTTCGTACTTGTTCGGATTCTAACGAGTTAGCGCACTAATGCGCCTGTTTTAAAACGCGATTACCTAATAATATACCACACTCACGCGTTTCTTCTTAAGTCAACTAATAAAGAATCTAAGTTCTCTTTTCTGGAAATCGTCATTGAGATTGGTAAAGGGTCACGCTTTGGGAAGCGCATAGTACATAGAATGAAGGCCTTCTGTCGTGTCAGAGAACACTGCCCCTATTATGTATTTCGACCCACACACAGTAAACAAAAACACCGAAACACTAGTCCTCCCAATCCACCCCTCCTTCTTGGCTCCTTGTTGTTGGACTCTCTTTCTGATCAGGATAAATGCCATCTGCTAAATCTAGTCCGAAATAAAGCATCAGCTAAGGTAAATGTAAACGTAAACAGTGGAGGGTAGCCAAGCGTACATGTCCCTCACACGTAAACTTGATCGTCTCACCTCTTAACTTGATCATCATCCAATCACTCAGTCGAAGCTTTCAGTATTGAGGTCCATCTACTAAGACATTCTACTTTGTGTGTGTAGTTTGGTTCTTATTGGAATGCCAAATTAAACTGCTATCTAAAAGTTTATTCTCGCGATGTAAGAACTGCTGATAGAGCTTCTTAGTACAGGTAGGATAGTTAGCTTGTACATCCTAAGCATTGTGCATGGACGCCATAATTGTGCATGCAAGAGAATCAGTGCGAGAAGGTCTAGGCAGAGGTAGGCTCCTTCTGTCTTGGGTGAGCCCTTCAACATCCTTGGTAATTTCTGTTAATAGCCTACAAAGTTCTGAGGTGCACCACAGCGTTAGCGGCTTTTTTTGTTGGTTTACAAAACCATGCTTTATTGAAATTGGTAATAAAGGAGTTGGTTATTGAATCTTTTCTGATTACACATTTTTGTGAGTATTTTCAGTACTAAGCACGGACTCGGAATCGATGGTATCTGCTCCTGTTCCTCAGTACATGAAGGGAAGTTTGAACAGGAGGCATGTACAGCAGCAGTACATTGTTGGTTCGTGACTTCATTATTTTTTCATCATTCCCAACAATTTTTTTTTCTGTTGACACGTTTTATTGTGCATTAGTCACGCGGGAGAAAGCATGATCTGTTATGTTACTTATTCGGGATGTCTCACATGTTCAACTTGCTCCCCGATGTTTATTGTAGCTGATTGATGCTGTGCAAACAAGTGGCACTCGGTGACTTGGTGGCATTGTTCAAATCACAGAGAAACCAAGAGAAGCGGCCTCAGGTTGAGGCGCCTGTTGCGCTAATCTGACTAGGTTTATTATGTCATTGTGTAATTCAGGTGTGCTCGAAAAACAGTTTCGACGGGTTTTATGACTGTTTTTCGTCCTAGCCAAGGTCTCATCAGATTTGCTTTCCGTGCAAATTTTACTGCAGATCTTCAAATTCATCCAGTCGAAAATCTTGTCAGAATTTTTCCTGTACCTTGTTCCTTGCATCTGTGACTCCTGTCAGAAACCCTGGTGTATCGAAAGAACTGTAGTGTTCAAACTCCGGCTGCCCTGTGGTTGAGCACGCCTTGCTTACCTGAATCGGAAACATTCAGCGTTTTACCTTCAATGGGCATAATTTTCAAGTTCGAATATGTGTTCTATTTTGACTATTGGGATCTGGATTACCATGGCTACCGCCAGGTCGATATTTCCTTTTCTCGTGGAGAGAAAGCGAAAGCTCCTGCGTGTTTTCAAGTGCATTCTCGAGTGGTGCCCGATAACCTCTGTCACGTATCTCTACTAATTACTGTCTTCTCCGCTTGCTTAATGGGTTTTTGTTTTTCTCAGGATTCAAGGTGGAAGGGTTTAACGGGGTTCCTGGTTGATTTCTTTTCTGTCGAGGCTTACGAGTAGTTTTTAATCGCTGTGCTTCTCGTTACTCATGTACTTTTCACTGCATTCCAGTTCTCTTTTCGTTATCGCTTAGAATAAAGAGTCCACACCTGAGGAATTGGGATGATTATCTCAGTAATGATAGCACGAGTGGAAGCATAATGAGCGTGACGGGCGGTTCGTCGCAGTGTTTATTCATTGCGATTCTCGATGGGTCGTCGATGTTCTGCGAGACCTTCACCACTGTAGATCTAACGTCATGGGACGGTTTTCGAGTCTTTTCCATGCGTCATGCTGATCGACCTCCCTTGTTGCCGAGATATCCTTTGCTTCGTCTCTGGTGAAGATCTTGACGACTGGTCGTGTTTTAGAACACTTTCATTTGATTTACTACCCTTCTCCTACTTTTCTTTCTTTTTCTGTTTCTCTTTCCTTCGGTCGCTGTTTCTTACAGGCGCTGTCATCGTCATGTGTTCCACACAAATTCTTACTTTGTTCTCTCTCATTTGTCGGATTTGCCTGCTTGGATTTTAAAGAGCTGTTATTACTGTAGATTGCGATGACGACAGCTTCTAGCCTCACACGGAAGGCATCGAGCAAGGAGCTGATAACATCTTCCATCGTCGAACGCACTAATTTTCTAATGGACTTCATTGGAGAATGTCGTCAGTCACAACGCAGCGTTGCACCTCTGATGTATTCTAAAGGAGAATTCGCATTTCAAAACAAAAGCCGAGTTGCACAGTTGGTCTCGCGACTAGAAAACGCTTCATCTAAAAAGCCGCCTTTGGCTGTTCCAGAAGTAGTTGACGGTCCTGATGAACCTAAGAAACTCAAACGAAAATATGCGAAACATCTAACAAGCACGAAGATCCTGCATAGCATATTTGGTCGTGACAGTGAAAAGAAAAAGTCCGATCCAACTTTATCAGATGGAGGGGTTGTAGCTTTGACTGGTGGTGCTGTTCGTGAGCCAGTTGTTTTAAGAAATCGGCAAAATGGCGGATCACTTGGAAGCAGGTCTGAAAACGCCAAGAGTACTCACATAGAACCATCAAGGATACGTAGTCTCATCAAAAAGAGGAGGTCCGAGGGCTGCATTGCAGTGACAGCTGATGAAGCACCTAAAAATCAACGCTCAAAGACCGGAAAACAGTCAGATGGTTTTTCTTCACGCATGGAATCACCACGTTGTGGCTCCGCCTTAGTTGATATATCACGAAGAGAGCTGGATTTGAAGGAGGGAGAAGATATCGTTCTTCGTCCTCTCGAACCTCGTCTCGAAGATCGCCCCACTCCATCTCTTGTCATCGAAAAGAAATCCTCACCGGATCTGAGTGCACCTACGGCTACGTTTTTGGAGGAGTGCCAATATCCGTTGAGAAGACGTCCTTATAACACCATCGGAGGTGGTCCTTTGATGAAATGTGAAAGAAGAATGCTTCATTCGAGGCCGCTGAGCAGGACAATGACTGCGGTTGAGAACAGGATTTTACCACCGCTGTATGAGAATGGCAGCACATCCGAGGATCAGCAGCAGAAGAGGCCCAAGAAGAGGTACATGGGGAGCCACACAACCAGCTCCTTCCAAGGAAAGAATGTGGCTGCACCTGATGCTACTCCTAGGCGTCACCTAATTGGATTTCTACACCGCACCAGTCACCTTTCGCTTACAAGTGAACTAAGCGCAAATGCTTCCTTCTATCTTATTGGCAAGTGTGCCTTTTGGGTTCTTTTTTGTGTAGGCATTATAATTGTTTACTTAATCATAGTATTCAGGACATCGAGGACGTCGGTTTGAGGACTCCACTATTGGTTCAGAAAGTGATGCACGTATGTTCTCGGATGATGATGACCGGTCAGTCTGCAGCTGTTGTTTTACATTCATTACTATTTTATTATTACAGGCTCTTTTGGGTTCTTTAAGCCTCAGCAGTGTTTCTTTTCTCGTAACTGGAGCAGAGAAACATTGCTTTATTTGCTGAAATTTTTCTTGGGTAAATTATTGTGTTGAAATTTGATCGATAATATCGCGTTATGCTCCTTACTTGTTTCCGCTTTTCTTGTAATCACTTTTGCCTATTGATGCCTTTTTGATCCTCTTGCATTACATTTTGACGGATGGGGCTATTCGTGCAAGGGATTAGTTCTGTGCGCTCGCCCACATCTCCAGTATGTGTGGTGATTCTCTCGTCAAGCCCCAGTTTCATCGTCTCTAGTAATCTCTTGCTTGATACTCCAACTGTATTGGCTATGAGTGGCTATGTTACTGAAGATGGCGATTTTGAAGGCAGTGATGGAAAAAACTACTATTCAACTACTTCCACTTCTGAAGATTACTACGCCATTAGAAAACTGAAGTATGACCGATTGATTTCCCTATTTCGATTAGTTGTGTCTGCAGATGTCTGAGTGTGACATCTTGCTTATGCATTTGTTATGTGCGTAATAGGGGCACATATTTCCAATACGCTTTCGTCCTAATGATCAAGCTTTCTTCCAAAGTTGTCTTTTTTGAATAGACAGCTGTTAGTTTATGAGAGCCGTATATCATCTTCACCATCGGCCTTAATGTGGGGTGTTTCGGCTGGGTCCTCATAACACGGATAGGCTTACAGTGATTTCGCTGAGTTGTTAATATTTGCAGGGGATCAACCACCACGGATATCACCTCCGTCTCACGACAACATGAGAACATGTATCGCAAACAACGACGGCGTCGGCAGTATCGTCGACCCTCGAGAGCATCTTCGTTTTCTAGTATAACCGGTGCGGCTATAATTTTTTGGCCATAAATGCGCGTAATTTTTTTTTCGTGATTGTATTGAATTGTTTCAATTGTAGAGTCATCTATGAGTCTGGACGTGGATACAGTAATCCTCAACATGGATACTGTGAACTTCCTTGGAATCTCAATTGTTGGGCAGAGTTCAGCACGTGGAGATAATGGGATTTATGTGGCGAATATCATGAAAGGTAAATCTTTGTGGAAACGACTTCTCTGTTGAAAAGATCGCAGTGCTTGTGAAAGTTCCAATGCTGTAACGGCGTTGATGCACCTAAATTAGCCGTGGTAGTAGGGAAACACGCGATCCGTCTCAATCAATGGTCGTATTGAAGAGGCTTTAACCTGTTTGCTTAGCTCATTAGGCCTCTCTTTAAGGTGGCGCAGTTGCGTTGGATGGGCGCATCAGTGCCGGTGATATGATATTGCAAGTAAACGATATCTCGTTCGACAACTTCACTAATGATCAAGCTGTGGATGTTTTACGGTAAGCATGATGACATCAGTATCATTTACGAATTTTCGTGCTTATTGGATACCTTCTGAGACCATCGTAATTTTTTAGTGATGCCGTTGCGCGCAAAGGCCCAATAAAGCTTACTGTGGCAAAATGCTTCGACAGCGGTCCAAAGAGCTGTTTTACGATCCCCCGAAACCATAGAGATGAGCCAGTAAGACCTATTGATACGCAAGCATGGATTCAACACACTAATGCTATGCGTGGGATGCCCAGCATTCTTGAAGGTATCATATTAAGAATTTCTGTAACGGTTAGCATTTTGTGCAAACGAGTATTTGTTACAGGCTCTGAAGGTGCTCCCACACCAATACCTGGCGATTGGCCTCATGGTCGGCCTCCAAGCAGCTCCACGGTGACGTCTACGGGTTCCAATGGACAGAACACAGTTGTTACCGGGCAACATGTTCGGTTGGATATTCACACTGATAAAAAGAAGGTGCGTCAATATTTTACAATAATGCCTGGTTAACGTACCTTTTAATGGATTTTTACACATGCTTGGGCTGGCATCGTGATTAATCAAATCTTTGAATGGTATAGCTTGTTCAATTGCATACGAGGTTGATACTGACAGTTTATTGGCTACGTTTCGGCGAGTTCGCCTTCTTCGGAGCCTAAAAGGATGGAAGTCGAGTTCATGAGTATCCGACCAAAAATCTCCACACACCTATCAATCATCACGTATTGATTAGGTGGTGTTAAAGATCTAGTAGGTGTGTGGAGGTCAAGATCGGAAGCGCAAAGCTACAAGGTAAAGCCGTAAAGAAAGCAGAGGCCAAAGCAGCAGCACGCATATCAGATGTTGAAGCATCTCACTTTCCGAGTATGGAGCATGCGATGGCTCAGTGGCAATCCAGGTAGTCGAGCGGGCACTGAACGATCTCGTTGTATTTGTAAATACTTCTTGATTGATTGATCCGACGGGATGGCTGCAGTGCGCAGGTTGATAAAGAAAAAGGTGCCGTACCATTTCTTCTTGTCCTGCCATTTTCTTGTCTTCATCTTCGTTTCCTTC